TTGGTGGATAGAACTACATGAAACTGAGTAATAATCCTGAGAAAAAATTCAGTCCCATTACATAAAAAAAACTCAGTTGAGTCCCTTTAATAAGGTAAATATATTTGTATTAGTCATAAGACAAACATCAATACAAATGTCTGAGGACAAATAATGAAGTCAATATGAAAACACTCATGTTATGCCAATGTTATTTATTTACAACATTGTGCATATATATTTCCAAACTAAATCTCCAGGTTTTGTAGTCAATTAATTAATGTAATGACAGGAATTACAGCACAGCCTCTGTAGAACTTTTACCTCTTTAGAACATTCTATCCCAAAGTAAGACTAAATTTACAATAAATGTTACATCTGCTTAGCAATCACCTGTTTGCAACAAAATTATTATTTCTTTCCTAAAGTAAGGCTAAACAAAAAATGTAACCATTGCGGAGCAATCACCTCTTTACAACAAAAGTATCATTTCTTTCCTAAAGTAAGACTGAACAAAAATGTAACCTCTTCAGAACAATCACCTCTCTACAACAACAGTATCAATTCTTTCCCAAAGAAAGACTTTAAATTAAAGTAACCTCTGCAGAGAAATCACCTCTTTACAACAACATTATCATTTTTTCCTAAAGTTAGACTTGCCAAAATTGTAACCTCTGCAGAGCAATAACCTCTGTACAACAACATTTTCATTTCTTTCCAAAAGTAAGACTTTACATTAAATGTAACCTCTGCAGAGCAATCACCTACAACAGTATCACTTCTTTCCCAAAACAAAACTTTACAATAAATCATACCTCTGACAATAACTCTTGCCTGTAACCAAAATTTTTGTCTCTCATAAGTGTGGTTGCTATACAGAGATTGTAACGTACTTACAATTAATGTATACTAAATGTACTATTAATCTACATGTATATATAAAAATTATTTTTTTCTTCAGCAGTACTTCATTTGAAAGTATTTACAACAAGAACATATTTCATACACATAATTCAAATACATCAAGTTTCATTTTTCTGTTTAGAATGTGATATTATAATCTGATTACATGCCCATTCAGTTTTGTTATTATTCTGATGAAACATTTCTTGGAAACACAGAAATAAATATAAAAAATAACAAGCAATTATCATAGTATTGCAAGCAATACAAAAGTCCTCTACTGGTTAGCACCCCAGCAACATTTGAAGGGTCATGGCCGTTCAATTAATCCACTGTGGAAGACATGAATGAACTTATATTTTTTGAGTTCTTTGTTTATCTGTATCATAGTAATGTGTTAAAAGTCCATGACTAATGTGGATTATTATGTTTATATAACAGTGATCAAAATATCCAAAAATTTTTTCAGGATGAATATGTATAACTCATGTGTCAATTTTTCTCTATTTTAATTAAATTTGTTCGAAAGTTACAAGTTCTTTAATTATAATCTACTGAATAGTCTTTTCGGGATGGCTTGAGACAGACGGACTGACAGACTGAGGGCAAATTTTTCATATACCAGGTTGTAACCTGAATATAACAAGAAGAAGCCAAATTCTTACACCAAATAGGAGATAACTATCGAAATAAAGATGCTAGACTTATGAACATTGTCATACATAATGCAAGTGGTGACAAACAACAATTATCAATGAAAAGCCATTTATAGAATCAAAGAAGAAAAGTGAAAAATATAACAATTTCAAATATATAAAAGTAAATTAAAGTTTATTTCTGTAACATAGTACTCTGTCCAAAATACATCATGACACTGCCATGGAAAAAACATTATACCATTAATAGCCTAGTAACAAAAAAGAAAATTAAAAAAAAAATATCTCACAATTTTCAAATAAATTTAAAATGAAAAATTAAGGATGATAATTCTGATATTATAAAGGTGCTTGAATAATGAACCTAATACCACATATGGAGTGGGTGATGATAAGAAACATATATTCAAAGTTTGAAGTTGATGTGTTAAGAAATAAAGAAGTTGTACAAAAAAACAACATTTTTTCTATTAAAATTGGAAGTTCAAGGGGAGGTAAATCTAATGAATTTGGTGCTAGAGTTGTGAACCTTGACATGCAAAATCTCCATATGGTCATGATGTCATCTTTTTATATTTAAAGTTTCATAAAAATGTTTTCAGTACTTTTGAGCAATCTCAAATTTTGTTATATTTGCCATATTTTAAGTCAATTTGTTGCCATAGCAACCAAATTTTTCAACATAAGAAGAAAAGAAGAGGTTCATAATTTCCAGACTGCCATTTACCCATGTTTCAAAATTAATTAAAATATTTTCAGTACTTTTTGCATCATCACAGGATCCAGTTTCGTGGATGGACGGACATACAGAAGTACAGTTGGTATACATAGTAAATTACCTCTGATTAAACCAATAAGGGACTAAAAACAATACTTATGTTTCAAATTAATTTTCAATTTTAATTTGAATGCAAAATTATAGAAACAATGTTTTAAGTTAACAATACCCCAGAGTTTCAAACTTCTTACAATCAGCCCATTTTCTATTTTCATTTTTGTAGTGACCCCAATTCCCTTATGTCAGCCCTGTGATAGGACATAATTTGGCTAAGAGGGTAATCTAATATCAACAAGCTAATATAATAATGAATGTTTAATCAATAGTCTTTAACTTTTATAAAAAATGCTTAAGTTGATATGGTCTTAATCAATCATAAACAATGTCTTAAATGGTTCTATTATATCATCAATCAACATGCTCCTCTACCTGTCCCCCACATTGCACTGCCCAGCACAAAACTCCATATCAATCAGTTGCCCTAGAACTACAATGTATAATGACACAGTATCAATTCACATGGAGATCCTCTATCAAATGTTCAACAACTTGTCCAGCAAGCATCTGCAAAAAGAAAAGAAGTAAAACTGATTTCCTGTGGGGGGGAGTTTTAATAATTCAAAAATATTTCATTTAACCGTTTTTAAAATTGTATGAAAAAGCATTTGTATCAAGATTATAGTTGACAATAATCGATCAATAGAAGGAGATGGATTGGTTGGTCACCCATGTGTATCATTCTGACAAACATCTTGATGATACAGACTACCATACTATTTTCATGTTCACATTTAATTATTTTTATTTTTTTAATTTAATTGCACTTAAATATTTGAAAATACCATATGTGCATGAAGTATAGATTTTATAATCTATTTAAAGATAACAAGAGGGCAGTATTGGCTCGACTATTCGAAAAAGTTGTCACAAGGGTGTTTTATTGAGTTAAATAATGCTTACCTATATGAATACATAAAATTGACCAAAAAGGTACAATGGCTTGTTCTTAAGATATTTTATCAAGTAAATCACTGCTTTATTATTATGAATGCATAAAATTGTCCCAAAAAAAGGCACAAACCCTTCAGTAGTTATGGAGATAAGAGCTTACAAGCAAAACTTTACCATGAATTTCTAAGTTGAAAAGGGGGAGAAAAATCAGCCTAAATGCAAGAAAAAATTATGGATCTTGGTCAGTGACCTACAATTATGACCCTAAATGCATATGTGAAGTTTCAAATAAATATCTTTAATAGTTATTGAGATATGTAAAACTTGCATGTAAACATTAACCAAGAGACTAAGTAGAAAAGGGAAGATAAATCACCCTAAATGCAAGATAGATATGGAACTTGGTCAGTGACATACACAATATGCTCATGGGGGAAAGGGTTAAAAACTTATGAAAGTTGCGCTGGTAGCAAAATGTAAAAAAAAAACAGTAGTTTTTTTAACTTCCGTGCAAAAAAAACTCATTCACTATAATCATACTCCTTGCCAACAGAGCAAGAAACGTATTTTTTTTTTAAAAGAAAGAAAGAAATTCATCTATTTGGCAAATCAAGAATTTCTTTCAAATTTGTAACAAGATATCATAAATAAACATTTTGCTGAAATGGGCCTTCAATAGTTTTTACTTGATTAACAATACATGTACGTGTTACATTAAGATGGTATTATTAATCAAGTAATCTGTTGGCAAGGAGTATGATCTTAGTGAATGAGTTTTTTGCACGGAAGTTAAAAACTACTTTTTCATATTATTATGTTTCATATTTTAGATTCCGACGGTCATGTCGATAAATAAATATACCGAGTGAGCAAAAATATTCTCGACTGTGTCCAAATATATTTAAAACTTATATTATGCCACCAGTATATGCTGTTTGCCTGAAATAATATGTAGACGGGCACCCCCCCCCCCCCCCCCCCCCAAAAAAAAAAAAAAAAAAAAACTGTGTTGGTACGACGTAAGACGCATCCCAAAAAAAAAAAATAAATAAAAAAAAATAAAACACAACCTCTAGATTCAAAGACAGGTAAACTTGGTGCATTTCAGCTTAATGTACAAGAAATGACTTCTAGATTACATGCAATGGATTTTGTGAAATATACTAAAATTTAGGAAAAAACGGAATCCCGTCTAAAACGACATTTGAAACTGAAAGTGTTGCATAAATTATATTTTGAAGTCAACAGTCAGTACGTAGTCAGTCTGAAATTTTAAAGTCAGAGGTTCGAGCTATAATTGTAGAAAATTCATTATAACGAGCTGATAAGCAGGTAATAATTTTAAGAATAATCTGAAATGCCTTAATATATCATGTTTTACAGGATCTCGCAAGGTTCGTCTCTAAGTATACACACCCAACCTATAAATACTTTCTGTGATGGCTAGAACACACCGAACTTATACTTTAAAAATAGGATATTCAAGGAATGTTATATTCTGATGTGTGTAACAGGGATTTTGTGAAATGCTGTGAGAAAAAGATGCTTACTTTCTGTTCAAACGTATTTAAACATTATTTACTTGTATATGTGAAAAATAAATAATTATCAATATAAAAATTCATTATATTGTTAGCTGGTGTTCGAAAATATGTCATCATATTATTCGATTTATATTTCGCATATGATTTAAGAATACATGCAATACAGGATATTAATGCAGTACGTATATATGTCAGCTTGGACGACAACGATATTAAGATTGAAATTAGACCGTATCCAATATGTCAGCGCCCAGGCAATCTTGTTTATTTATTTTGAGTTCTTCAAATGAAGGTATTTTCTATACGAAAGAATTAAAACATTTTAGTATTAATATTGTATTATTATATTTGATTAAATTAACTTAAATCTGAGATAACCTTTCTGGCTCATGCTACGTGTTACATGCGTCTAAGAAACAATTTGACACGCCCACTTTAAACAGTTAAACTTTTAACTGTTTAACAGTTTTAAGCACCCGGTGACCAAAGGCACTAGACACAATTAATTTACCTATATATGCTTATACTATATAATATGAAATTAGGCAATGCCTATGAACGGGGAAGTCGTTAAAAATTCCTTTCATTCTTTCCGTTTTAAAGGTGTCATTCGGTATTCTCGACTTTACACATCCGGGCATTTGCAGGTCGATAAGAGTTACGCGCCCCTTGACTACTGGGGTAAACAAATCGATTTCCGCCATATTGATTAGTACAGATACACGAAATTAAATAGTTTTCTTCCGTAATATTCGATAAATATCGACAAAAAATGCCAAATTCTTGTTGTGCTGTTGGATGCAGCAATCATGGAATGATGAAAAGAAAAATTTCTTTCTTTACATTCCCAAGCGATCAGGAAAGGCGAAGTAAATGGATATCAGCTGTGAAGAGAATAAATGCCGACGGATCAAAATGGCTACCGGGAAAATACACTGTATTGTGTAGTGACCACTTCATTGAAGGTATTTTTTTGGTTGTTTGTTTAATTTTGTATGCAACATGCATAATTTTTAAGGACGTCAGCGTTAAGAAATCAAATAATGGTTCCTTGAAATTGATAACTAAAGACCAGTGGCTTTGTGTCAAACGTGTTAAATTTCATCCAGTTGATGTAAACTTTTCCACATTTTTTAATAATGCGAATCAGTATATGTATATATAATAAATCATATATGAATTAAGTAAATCATTACTTGTCATGAAATGAAAATAACTAATGACAACTATTATATACACTAGTTCATACCCAAGGGAGTGACACTTGACAGATAAATGAGATATGTCAGATTATCATTATGTGATGTCAGCTTTAGTCTTTTCCGGGCTACCTTACAAAGACTTCTGAGTCATTCTGTTAACCGTTTTGGTTAATTTTTCAAATATTTATATTCATTCCAGGCAAACCAAATCGAGACCCAGCACACCCGGACCATATTCCATCACTATTCCAGCATGTTGAAAGAACACCTAAAGAAAATCAGTCAAAGCTGCAACGGTTCGCAAGTGCTGTGAAAAGAAAGATAGCCTTTAATACACCAACACCAGCAAAGCGTCAGCGAAAAGTGCTACCACCATTATGTGAAAGTGAAAACTCACAAGAAGAAGAGGTGTATATGGCCACCCCCCTTCATGCAGATGTGAATAGTCAATATTTTGCTGAATATGAAAAAGCTCAGTATAATATTGAAATAAACAATCTCCGTGCAGAAAAAGAGAAACTCAAAGAACAAAATAAAGAACTTACAGACTCATTACAGAGTGAAAATTTAAGTTTCAAACATGTTGAAAACAATGATGAAAAGTGTAAGTTTTATACAGGATTGTGCTAGGAAACATTTATTACAACATTTCAGTTTCTGTCTACATTTGTAAAACCAGCCCCAAAGAATAGGATGATAAATCTTGAAGATCAGTTCTTCATAACTTTGGTTAAGTTGAGGCATGATATGGCCTTTGAGTTGATAGCTGACTTCAAAAGGGTATCAGTAGCTACAATTAGTAACATTTTCTGGTTATGGATCTCACTCCTCAGTGCAAAATTAGACTTTTTAATAAAATGGCCAGACCGTGAAACAATATTTGTGACTTTACCAGCACCTTTTAAAGCAAAGTTTCCTAGACTGACTTCCATTATTGATTGTTTCGAGATATTTATTGAGAGACCAAGAAACCTACAGGCACGTGCCAAATGTTACTCAAATTATAAAAAACACAGTACTGTGAAAGTTTTGATTTCATGTACCCCAAATGGTGTTGTTTCATTCCTATCTTGTGCTTAGGGGGGTAGAGTTTCTGATGTTGAAATAGTACGGCGCTCCGGTTTCATAAGTACTAAATACCACCTACCAAATGATCAGATTTTAGCCGATAGGGGTTTCACTCTGCAAGATGACTTTGCTTCAGCTTGTAGCGCAGAGTTGATTATACCGGCATTTACTAAGGGGAAAAAGCAGTTGTCTGCTCAAGATGTAGAGACATCAAGAAAAATAAGTAATCTGAGAATACATGTGGAAAGAGTAATTGGTTTGATAAAACATAGATTCAAAATTTTGCAAGGAACTCTTCCAATAACTTTAATAAAATCACCAAACGATGAGGCTGATGAGGAAGACCTTGCAAGAATTGACAAATTACTACGTTCTTGTGCTGTATTAGTTAACATGGGTGAAGGAATAGTTTATAATGAAAATGAATGAAGCTGACCATGTTAGGCTGGTGTTAGTAAAAGTACTGTAACACATACACATGATGAAATGACTTATATTGTATGTTTTATTACATATTTGATTTTTTATCATGAATAAAATTCTATAATGTAGTACATTTTTTTCTTCAAATTTTAAGTCCAATACATCAACACAAAATTTGTTAACATTGACTGATATATTCTCAGAAGATTTCAATCATATTTAAGATAAGTGTGTAGGCAAAAGTGATCAGTAAGACACATTTTTTTATTTTTTAACACCAGAGCTTTTCATTCATGTTTTAAATATGACATTGTTTACATTATCCATAACAAACATCATTTTCACAATTTGTTAGCTGTAGAATAAGTGTGTCATTTTAAGCATCTTTTTTCTCACTTATCAATACTTTTGTTTAATTTTTTGCAATTTGAACAAAACCAAGTACCCTTTGGCTCTCTTTTAAGTTTCATACACTTAAGGTGAAACCACTGCACAGTGCAATTAGGGTTGTCACATCCTACATATTTACTGTCATCTTCTGGCTGCTGACAGATACAGTAGAGTTTATCATTTTCTTGGACATGTACAGCTGGCTTTCCGTGTGCCAGCTTCCTTGTGAGTAATTCTGGCAAAATATATGATTTGTACATTTGGGTACACTTTTCCAGCATATCTTGAATGAATTCATTGTTTCGCATTACATATGTTACTAACAAAAATTTTGGTGCCCACACAACAAAGTCACACACACTAATATTATAAACATACATTTGTAACTGAACTTGACTGTAATATTTATGTGACTTTTTCAGCATATTATCTTTAATGTAACAGTCGGGCTTTGACAGAAATGTTTTAACATCCATTTCTTTTGCGGAAAAGGGGCATTTTACTTCAACTAATTTTAATATATGACAGTCACAAGAAACAAGGCTGTCAGCACTGGCGCCAATGTAGGGATTTTCTTTTGAGAGCTGAAGTCCCTCTTTATGAAGCTTCATATTTTTATGGGGTGGATTTGAATGTTCCATGATTTGTTTGTACGCCTTAAGAGCCTTGTCTTCATTGTCATTTCCCCACTTAATAGCTTCAGTTTGAAGTTGAGATTTTCTTGGGTTGCATATTTGATTGATAGCTGACTTTGAAGGGTTGTTGGGATCTGTTCTAATGACTGCGTGAACTGTTGAGGAAGTTATTCTGCCAGTTCGTTGCTCATGCCATACCATATTAGAACTCTGGCCTGCTGTACATTTATTCACATATTTTATTTCCTCATCAGTTAGTTTCAGATTACTGAATTTTGTTTCACATTGTTGTTTCAGATCTTCAGAGCTTAATGCAACATTTCCTTCTTTATAGAAGGAAGTGAGGGGGGCTGGTAATTTGGGATCACGTTGGGGTCTCTTTTTCCAATGGAAATCATCTGAATAGCCATTAAAACAGCTGAGGACAACAGGCTTATTGTTCATTTTCTTCAAAGCGGATAGAAAGTGTTGTTTCTCTTCTTCTGTAGCCTTTTCGAACACTGTTTTTCTTTTTTTGGAGCGGGATTTAGCCTTGTTTATTTTTTTCTCACTGAAGAAGTTTATTTTTGATATTGGGTCAGGGTTGATTTTTTTAACAAAGTCTTGGTTCCATTTACAAAGTACATCTGTACAAGCTTGTTTGGTGTAGCCTAGTCTAACTGCAGCCTCTACCTTAAACATGACGGCAGCTATGTGAGAGCATGATTCACCTAATCTGAAAAGAAATTTTTTTTTTTAATAGTATTACTCATTGTGAAATTATGCCATATTTTTCAATAGATATGTTTTTATTCAACTTCATGTACATATATTATTATCTTGTTGATGAATAACTTTTGAAAGATAATAAAATATAAAAATTGTAGCTAATTTGTTCATGTCATTTATCACCATCAAGGGTGTGATTATCTTCACTGGTATAAATATTAATATACTAGACATTATAAACATTTATTTATCAAGTGCGAATACACTTAACGTATAATATGAAATACTCTGAATATATTTTTTGCCATCACACCTATTTTAAATGGTTAATGATTTATACCTCTATAAAGCAAATTTCTAGAGATTGCATTCTATATTCTCACATATTAACTATAAAGAAGTTGGTGGTTTATTTCAAATGTTGTTTAAAAAAAAGTGATTAAACAAGTGCTCATTCATACCCAGCCATACAGTTACAATGAGCAGCAGATATTTGCCCACAGTTGGTAACAGCAATCCAAGGACAATAGTGGTCATCATTTAATTTTTGAGAAGGTTTGACAGAGGCTTTCATAAGGGTATATTGACTGTCACTTGGCTTGTACATGAATACAGTTTCAACCCAGCCAGATCTGAAGTAATTATGTGCTTCTAAGCTCTTGTAGTTTTTCATACTTTCCCTAGTGTACACACCTGTGAAAAAAGTGACACTTGTAAGTCTACATTCAAATATATATAATCTATTTTCTATATATAGTCTTTTTTTCTGAATAAAGTATATAAGTAAGTATATATAATCTATAATTCTATATATTCTGCTCTTTCATGTTTTGTGAAAAAAAGAATAGAAAGACACAGGTCACCACAAATAAAGTAGTGGTCAATTGAATTGATTAACATCCAAGTGTCAGTTATACAGGAATGTGAGATATCTGTGTTATATTAGCTGTACTTCATTAAAACAGTACACAGCAAGGGTGCCTTATTCATTTTAGGACCAAATTCACGGTAGGGTGCCTAATTATTTATTTATCAAAATAAAAAATCAATACTATTTGGCATCTGTTAAAACAACACTGCACTGCAATTAACAAGAGTTGATCATGGTTGCTAGGGAGATTATCAGTTGTCACTTGTAGACAGTTGAATTATTCAGTATGTCAACAGATTCTAATACATTATATAATATATATATACATTTTATAAAAAGTGTAAAAAGTATGTAAACGTTTTAAAAAGCAACATTCTCTCAAAAATGTCTTTAATCATTAGATCCTTTCAAATACAGCACTGTACTGTATCAAATAGAAATTAGATCTACGATTTTTTTTATTTATTTTTTTTTTAAGTGGCAACGCGCATTTCACAACAGTTCAAGTTCATTTCTTGTTGACATATTAATTACCTTTTCATTAGATATAAGCCTAGTTTAAATCATCAAAAATAACCAAAATAAAAAAACAAAAACAAAAAATTCACGTTCATTTCAGACATTACCGGATATATAGCTGGATACTGATAATCATTGGCAACATTGCTTATTGTATTTTTTATTTTTTTTAATAGCAAGAAATAAGTAAAGTATATACATATACCTGGTGTTTCAATCAAATAGTTATGAATATCACCATATTCAACCGACGGCCACTTCGAAGGATCATTTTTCCAAACACCTGCTGGAAGCTTATATGGACATTCATCTAATCCAATTAAATTCAATTTAGAAACATATCTGGCTTTTGCTGCCGGATCAAGTTCATCAAAATAATTAAAAGACATAATTAATATGTTATTAACAATTTTCACGACAACCTGATTGAATATAATCGATTGAAATGAACATGTCAAAAGTCCAATTAACGATGCGCTAATGCGTAACCAAGCGATAGCTTCCCCGTCTCTAGGCAGCCATTTTACCTGTGACGTCATGCTAAAGCCGAGAATTACATGCACCGCTTCCGTTTTTACTCGGAACACTCGACGATTATCATTTATCCGAAAAGTTGAGATTTGTTCCGTTATCGGAATACCCCGCCTATTATCATTGAGTTACATTGTAAATGGCGACGCCCGACTAGAACTGACACTGAAAATTTCATTGATAGGTATAGAATTCTATATATTTTTTAATTGTTTTTTTATTTGATTTTCTTTTAAATATACACGTGTAGTCTATAGCCGGGCAAGCCAAAGCCCGGGCCCGCTTTGCGGGCCCGGTCTTTGACTTCCCCGTATAAAGAATAATATTAGGTACATTATGAAGCACTGTAGGATGTTTATCTTTATCATAAAACCGCCTGTCTGTTTTTGTATTTTCTGATCGCTGATCAGATAATACATAGCTAACATCCACGGTCTAACACAAAATTTCCTAACAGTCCTAACAACGCAAATTAGTTCTCACTCAAAACTGCTTAAAAACCAGCAATTTAAAAGAAAGAACAATTTTTTATTACAAGTGTCAAACAAATTACTACACCTTGAAACTTTTAAAGTAGCGTTGGCTTATAGAGTTGTCAATAAATGCACACTCACAAATTACGCGGATGAATATGATTTTAATCAATGAAAATGCTATTTTAGCGATGTCAATTACCGAATACTACACAAATAAATCTGACTGCCGAGTAGTTTAATATATAGTTTCTACATGTTGGACTGTTTGGGCGAGAAGATTTTTGCTGAATTATTTACTTCAATTTTAAACAACAGGTTTACCCTGAACAAAATACCTCGAAATTACCCTAACCCGATATCAATGGAAATTCTAAATTTAGAATGACTTGATTTTATTCAGCTGTTGATTATAAAACTTCTCCGTGGTGCAGGGGTAACGCGCTCGTTTGGTGTGTTCGAATCCCAGTCGAGTCAACATTTTTTTAATTCTTTTTTTTAGTGTCTTTGTTAAGGAAATAGCCACGATATGCAAGGATAAAGTGTGGCTATCATAAAAAATGAACATAAATTATTTTTTGATGCAACTCTAGTTATGCAAAATTCCGTATGTATCAAACTCTGGTGCCCTGCAAGATGACTTATAGTACATAAAAATAAACTTAATATACAGGAAAACACATACAGATATACAGTACGATTTAGATTCCAGGGATCAGAAAATACCACAGAGCTTGCAGCCCTTTGATTTAAATAATGGCGATAATCATAAAAAGTGAATTGTTAGGAATTTTTGTGTCACTGCTAAAATTTTGAAACATTTTTTCTTCCATCTGGTGAAGTCACAGTATAAAAATTGGAACGCTGAAAAAGTAACATAATTCTTAGTGATTATATCCATGATTTGCATTCAGATTCTTTGTCTTGTCATCAGGAAAATATTTTGCGGTACTGCAATTAAAATTTTATTCCATGCACTTTTTTAACAGTTGACAATTCAAATGGTAATATAATAGGCCTATAATGATTAGCCCCCACTGATGATTTGCCCCATAACAACTCAGTTGAATCATGGGGGAATCATCATTACATACATATATTTTACAACTATTGTCATAAATCCATTTGAAGAGAGCTTATTGTTTTTTTATTGGAACTAGCTAGAGATGTACAGTTTTAATTAAAACATTACAGTGATTACTACAGGTTCTGTTTACATGTATAATACATAATTATTCATCTTAATATAGCATCCAAACATACAAATCAAATAGTATATTTTTAGTCTTAGCTAAAGATCTCAAATAATTTAAGATGGAGTTATAGGGATGGAAGTTGTTATGACATGATGACTGATTTTTAGTAAAGTAGAATAAAATAACTGTTCAACTTTGTCCACTCTATGTCCATAACAGATAACTAGTACATGACATCAGGGTCTTGAAAGACCCTGATGACACATAAAATTAGTGCCTGACTTTAATTGTATACATACTATATAAAAGTAGAGCCTGACTATAATTTTATTACAGTTGTTTTGATAATACATGCATGACATGAATATTTCCTTCTTCATGTATTGGTTAAAACACTCGGATGCAATATTAGAACATGTACCATAAAAATGCCTGTCTTATAATGTTATTTGACAGTTTACTTAAATTATGCTTTTCTTATTTTTTTTTTTACACAGGAGTCACTGCACAGTCATTCCTGCAAGCGTACAATATCATCTCATCAAATTTTAGTGTCCAGTTGGCATCACCAGGTGTAAGTAAAATATACTTTCTCATTCTGACAGATATCATCTTTTATTTTATGCTCATCAGTGAGATACCAAGTACTGGGTTTTATATTTGTTATAAAATCAATATCACCCAAGGTATTTTAACTTGGTATATTAGCACTTTCTATCTAAGCAAAATCCCATATCTTATTAAAATATATGCATAAATTCCTCTGTCTTTCTGTTAGTAACAGGGTAAAAGATAGCATTTTGTTAATTTTATAGTAATTTATTATTACATGTTTGCTTGATACATTCAAGGTTTTTCCTGGATAATAATAGAGCTGTCATTGATAGAAACAATATTGATGTATTGTTGATATTTTTCTGTTGATCAATAATTGATACACTTTGCAAAAACTATGTCTAACACTATACTGGTGTTATAAAGTGGAAATATTTCATATTCATGGCAGTGATGACAAAAACAATGGTCATGAAAATAATCATGCAATAGGTATTTATAAACAAGACACTGATCAACAGATCATGTATTTTACTGAAGTCATTTAAACAGGTATGAGAGAGTATGACAGACAAGTATTTATAGGTTAATTATCAATATTTCGGTGTATTGTTGATATTTGTAATCCGATATTGATAATTATTCGTTGATAGGCTTTGCACTGAATCGATGACAGCTCTAGATAGTAAATATTTATTCATTTTCTAAATTAACAGTACAAATGTATATTATTTAAGCTTTATATTTGAAAGAGGTTTTTTTATCTATCTGGAGGAATGCCTCTTTAAATTCAAAAGAGTTTGTTTGTTTGATTGGGTTTTACACTGTGAATTTACGTGAATTATTTCAGGCAAAAAGACTTTGTTACTGTACTACATTATAATTATATATATTTTGAAAGGGAAAGCATATAGAATACATAAACCAGGAAGAAAATAGCAGGAGATGGTTTAACGAGTTCCGAGCCAAGTCAAACTCAAACCCTATAGCCCTAGAGACAGTGGACGCTGCTAGGTATACAGCATTAGTGATACCAGACAGCCCAGGAGCAACCAGGGATCTTCATACTGACACAGATCTTAAACAAATTCTCCAACATTTTGTAAAAGAAAAAAGTGAGTACTTATATATTCTTCCAATGTTTAGTCCTACATATGTTATAGTACATGTAAATTAAAGAGCTTTCAAAAGAAAGCCAATATAAGAAAAATATCTTTATTTCATATTATTATGATTTCAAAATGAAAAACAAATTAATCAACATTTTCTTGAAATTCTGCTTTATATACAATAAAGTATGACAGCTACTAAATTTGAAAAAGAAACATTTTGTCCAAACAAAAAAAAACTTTAATATGTCATAATTATTACTTATTTTTCAGAGCCAATATGTGCAATAGGAATGGGTGTGGCAGGTTTATTCCCTGCCTTAGGTAAAGATGGTCACTGGTGTTTTGAGGATTACAGTATGACCTGTGTAAGTTAACATATGAAAGTACAGTCAAACCTTGCCAAACAAGGTGTTCCATCTGTCAAACACTTCTATATGTAAAGCTTATATAATGATAGCCATCTTTGTAGCTTTCTTTTTCTGATATCTTTTGTAGAAGTGAAGGACATTTTAATGAGTTACATAAATATGAGAACAATTCTGTAAACCATTTCAGTCTAAAATATGATATCTAGTGTAGTGCTGAGCCAGCCTACACATCCATGTATTTTAATTTGACTGTAGATCTACTTTTGCCTACTATTTTATGGAATTTTAATACTGAAATACCTTTAAACTACTAGTTGATGGTTCTTAATTCAGGACCAGGCAAGTTCATTACAAAAATGCAGGGTTGTAAGGGTTGACATGCAAAAAGTGTTAAATATATAAAGTCATGATGTATTATCATAATGTAAGAAGCAACAAAGATAGACATTTTTTATCTCACCTGTCACAAAGTGACATGGTGAGCTTTTGTGATCGCTTTTCGTCCGGCGTCCGTCCGGCGTCCGTCCGTAAACTTTTACTTTAAATGACATCTCCTCATAAACCGCTGAGCCAATTTCATCCAAACTTCACAGGAATGTTCCTTTGGTGGTCACCTTTAAAAATTGTTCAAAGAATTTAATTCCATGCAAAACTCTGGTGCAACCGATAGAAAAAACTTAAAATATCTTCTTTTAAAAAACCCAAAGAGGTAGAGTTTAGATATTTGGCATGAAACATCTTCTAGTGAGTGTCTATCAAGTTTGTTCAAAGAAAAGCCCTGGGGTCAATATTGGTCAAACATTCATTTAAGCTCAACTTTTCAAAAATTAATTTGGCAAAAGTTGGCTTTGGTATTGACATATAACTTGATAAAAAATATGCATTTAATTCTAAAAATGTTACAGTTATCTCAGAAGACACTGTCATTTATCCATATGTTTTTTAAAATCCTTATTATAGGTCACATACCTGAAAGCGTTAACTCTAATATGAAAATTTATGGAAGGTTACCCTTTTGCAACCATAAACTACTGCTTATTCAGGTTTTGCATACCAGTTCTATTTCCACTGCTACTGAAGGTATTTATTTAAATAGAGAAAAAACACAAAGACATTTAACTAGAGAAATACAAAGGTGACATGCTGTTTATCATTAAGATTTTGATTTGGATTTCAAAACAACAACAAAAACATTGGAATGAGCAAGTGGTTAGAGGCCATGTTTGATATATTAAATTTCACATATATGGAAGAGCATGTTTATATGAAATAACTTCAATCAATACAGTCATATTGATTTTTAGCTCACCTGTCACTTTGTGACAGGGTGAGCTTTTGTGATCGCTTTTCGTCCGGCGTCCGTCCGTCCGGCGTCCGTAAACTTTTACTTTAAATGACATCTCCTCATAAACCACTAAGCCAATTTCATCCAAACTTCACAGGAATGTTCCTTTGGTGATCACCTTTGAAAATTGTTCAAAGAATTTAATTCCATGGAGAACTCTGGTTGCCATGGCAACCAAAAGAAATAACTTTAAATATCTTCTTCTAAAAAACCCAAAGAGCTAGAGCTTAGATATTTGTCATGAAACATCTTCTAGTGAGTGTCTACCAAGTTTGTTCAAATAAAAGCCCTGGGGTCAAAATTGGCCCCACCCAAGGGGTTCATTGATTTTCCCTATATGTATATAGTAAAAACTTAAAAAATCTTCTTTTAAAGAACCCAAAGAGCTAGAGCTAAGATATTTAGCATGAAACATGTTCTAATGGGTGTCTACAAAGTTTTTTCAAATAAAAGCCCTGGGGTCAAAATTGGCCCCGCCCCAGGGGGTCATTGATTTTTCCTATATGCATATATTAAGAACTTAAAAATGTTCTTTTAAAGAACCCAAAGAGCTAGAGCTAAGATATTTAGCATGAAACATGTTCTAATGGATGTCTACCAAGTTTGTTCAAATAAGAGCCCTGGGGTCAAAATTGGCCCCGCCCCGGGGGACATTGATTTTCCTGATATGTGTATAGCAAAAACTAAAAATTCTTCCTCGAAAAAACCGAATAGCTAGAGTGTAGATATTAAGCATGAAACATCTTCTAGTAAGTGCCTACAAAGATTGTTCAAATAAAAGCCCTGGGGTCAAAACTGGCCCTGCCCCAGGGATGTCATTGTTTTTAAATATATGTGTAAAGAAAAAACTTAAAAAACTTCTTTTAAAAAATCCAACAAGCTAGACCTTTGATGTCTAGCATGAAACATCTTCTAATGGGTGTCTACCAAGTTTGTTCAAATAAAAGCCATGGGGTTTAAACTGGCCCCGCTCCGGGGGGCCTATATACAGGTGAGCAACTTCAGGGCCATCATGGCCCTCTTGTTTATTGTAGACGTCAGTGTTTGAACTTGCAAGGAATGCAGATTTTCCAAGCTTACCTGTGATTCCAGAAGAATTTATCAGAGATAATTGTGCCAAATATAGCTGTAAGTGGGAGGATATATAATATCCTTTATTGAATCACTTTTGTGTTTATTGTAAGGTTTATTTTATGGTAAGGATAACTGACATCACATCACTTGCCCTTATAGCAGTGGATTTGAATCCTGACAGGAACTTTTGATTCTTTTATGTATAGAATATATCCAGGTACTGGAGACTGATGGTTCTAGTTTGGTGCCAGCCTAGTGACTGAAATAATGCATGCAAGGGGCAGCCCAGGTCTTCCTTTACAATAAAGCTGGGAATGTCACAGTGTCAATGTGACTTATTAAAACCATACAAAACATTTATCAAAATATTGCATGTATGTAAAAATATACCCGAGTCTGAGACTAGCATGTTTGAAGATATTTCAATTTAGTTTTGAGCTGCCATTGGTTCAAGTGTGGAAAAGAGGTTATCTTATTTTGATCTTTATTTTACAAACAGTAATTATTATAACATAATCATTGGGGAAAAATGACATAAGTGGAGATAATTTTGTAAATATGCCGGGCTCATGGCTTTCCAGCTGAAACAGTTTTTTACCATGATAAATCATACCATGAAAAGTTATCACATTACATATAAATCATATTGAATTTTATCAAATTAAATGCCTCTAGTATCTGCATTTATCTACCATTCACTTATTATACATGTATACTATTGTAGGTAGTGGGGAGGTGGACTCAGTCCATGTTATAATAGACAGACATTTAATCACTGGACAGAACCAACAGTCAACAATAACAGCAGTTCAAAATCTTATTCTTATGTGTAGCCAGAAGTAAGTAAATCTCTAAGTAATGATTTAATTCTATGATACATTCTCCTCTGTATAAAAGACCGTGTTTTTTATACCAGATTATACCATTTGCCTTATACCAGATGATTACTGTAGACCCTATACTAGACAATTGTCATCAACCTTATATCTTACAGTTATCAAAGGCCATATACCAGATCATAATCCCTACACCAGATAATAAACAAAGGCCCTAGACCAAACCATTTTGGAGATAATTATCATAGGCCCTATAACTGATAACTATCATTTACCATATAACAGAAATTATCATAGGCCATGTACCAGATAATTATCATAGAACTTACACTAGACAATTATTATATGTCCTTTACGAGATAAATAGCTTAAGCTGATACCAGATAATTATCATTGTCATATACCAGATAATTATCATAGGCTCTATTCCTTATAATTATCATAGTCCCTATACCAGTCAATTATCATAGGCCCTATACCAGATAATTATTATAGGCCCTATACCAGCCAATTATTATAGGCCCTATACCAGATAATTATCATAGGCCCTATTAGAAATTATTATCACATGCCCCATATCAGACGTTTAGCATAGTTCATATACCAGAAAAATATACTATGCCCTATGCCAGTCAATTATACTAAGCCTTTCACCAGTATATTTCCCTAGATCCTATACCAGATAATTATGTAATAGAAAGAGCACCGAAACACGAGGCTATCTGATTTGTACGAGGGGGTGTAGCCCCCGAGTATTAATCAGATTGCGGAGTGTTTTGGTGTTCTTTCTCTTTTGTATCATAGTCAAACATAAAAACACGTTCCCAGTTGCCAGAATATGAAACCCCGGGAAAAAAGTAACCAATGAACGAGCATTTGAATATGATATTTCTGCCGCTTTCCCTTTCTCTGCCGTCACAATAAGTAAACCCCAGCAAAAATGAGCCAATCAACGGGCATTATCTGGAGTGCTGGTAACTAATACCTGCACTCCAGTTACCGCACTGTGCATATATATGTATACGATTTAACTCTGACACTTTTTCAACAGAAAGGTCCCCAAGCTATGATACAACTTAGGCTTATACCAGATAATTACCATAGATCCTATACCAGATGATTGTCTTAGGCTTATACCAGATAATTACCACAGACTCTATACCAGATGATTATTGTAGGTGATCTACTTCTATCTCCACTCTTCATTGGATATTGCTTCTTACAGTCTATTTTGGAATCATTCATAATTATATACAGCCTCAGCTAACCTGTTTTGAAATTCTGCAATAATAATATTATGCAATATTTCTTAAGCCAGTGCTTGTGAGGCATAAAGAGAAGCTTGCATATTTCACTTATGCCCATGTACAGACTAAATCAAAATGAGCATGCAATGTGTTCACTTTGCCATGTTTAAGCAAGTTTAGTAGTTAGCTTTACATTGTTTTTAATTGATGCACTTACTTTGCTTTTATCTTAACTTGTTAGTTGTTAGCTCATAGAAAAGTCTAGCAATTAGCACATAGATATGAACCAAAATGTTTCCTTATTTGAGGTATTTTCACATGTGTGTACAAAACAAAAAAATGGAGGGTTTTTTGTGTGTGTTTTTTTTTGCCACCCTCTGAGTATAATGAAGTATGTTAGGACTGATTAAAAATATGAGCCGCGTCACGACAAAACCAACATTATGGGTTTGCGACCAGCATGGATCTAGACCAGCCTGCGCCTCCGTGCAGCCTGATCAGGATCCATGCTGTTCGCTTACAAACCATATTACAAGTAGAAAAACTGATAGTGAACAGCATGGATCCTGCGCAGAGGCGCAGGCTGGTCTGGATCCATGCTGATCGCAAACCCATTATGTTGGTTTTGTCGTGACGCGGCTCATACATGTATGTCTTATCTTGATGACCAATTGACAGCCAATAGATTGATAAGCACAGTGTTTATTAATCATAATAATGAAATTTATGACTTTTGTTATTAAATATGAATGTAGTGATAAAAGTATATTAGGAAATTTTTTTTTTCAAAACAACCAGTTTTTCATTGAGTGAGAAAACTTTATGTATATGTTATAACATAACCAAAACTATTGCATTATTCACTCCAAAGTTTCCTTATGTCTAAAAGAAAATGCACTGATGTGTTTCAAAATTATAAATTTGGCAAATTGAATGGCACACTAACTAATATGCATGTAGTTTAACAATGACTTTTTCTTGTCATAATAATTATTTTTGAATTTTAGAAGTAAGTTTTATATATATTCTAAATGCAGTTATTCATAATGAATATTTTTAGCTCATCTGTCACAAAGTGACAGGGTGAGCTTTTGTGATCGCTTTTCGTCCGGCGTCCGTCCGTCCGTCGTCCGTCCGTAAACTTTTACTTTAAATGACATCTCCTCATAAACCGCTGAGCCAATTTCATCCAAACTTCACAGGAATGTTCCTTTGGTGGTCACCTTTAAAAATTGTTCAAAGAATTTAATTCCATGCTGAACTCTGGTTGCCATGGCAACCAATAGAAAAAACTTAAAATATCTTCTTTTAAAAAACCCAAAGAGATAGAGCTTAGATATTCGACATGAAACATCTTCTAGTGAGTGTCTATCAAGTTTGTTCAAATAAAAGCCCTGGGGTCAAAATTGGCCCCGCCCCGTGGGTCATTGATTTTTCCTATATGCATATAGTAAAAACTTTAAAAAATCTTCTTTTAAAGAACCCAAAGAGCTAGAGCTAAGATATTTAGCATGAAACATCTTCTCATGGGTGTCTACCAAGTTTGTTCAAAGAAAAGCCCTAGGGTCAAAATTGGCCCCGCCCCGGGGGGCATTGATTTTCCCTATATGCATATAGTTAAAACTTATAAAATCTTCTTTTAAAGAACCCAAAGAGCTAGAGCTAAGATATTTAGTAGTGATGTTCCGATTGTCGCAAGTCGCCCATCATCACTTACTGTTATGTAAAACGACAATAATCGATTCATAAAAGTTTGTTCCGCGACGTCGTCAAAATGTTTAAATTATCAAAGGGAATTAATTCTGAGGGTAATTTTCCTTAAGGAACACCTCGCCGATCGCAAAAAAATCACCTCAGAGACAATTTGGAGTTGAACAGGAATCAATAGGGTTGATGTTAACAATAAGTTATATAATGTGATGTGAATGGTATTATTTGACATCCGTTGAAAAATAAAATCTATGTCAATAAAATTATGACTATATAAGGTTAAAACTGTGTGTTGAAAAGTGCTAAATGAAGTTCATGTTACTAAATATAATCAAGTGCCTTGGTAAGAAATATTACTTCCCTATTTCCTTTTAACGCGACTTTATTTGAAAGTTATCGATTATGTCCCATCCGACTGAACCGATGATCGATTGGGACAAATTTTATCCGATTTCCATTACTAATATTTAGCATGAAACATCTTCTAATGAGTGTCTATCAAGTTTGTTCAAATAAAAGCCCTGGGGTCAAAATTGGCCCCGCCCCAGGGGGTCATTGATTTTCCCTATATGCATATAGTAAAAACTTATAAAATCTTCTTTTAAAGAACCCAAAGAGCTAGAGCTAAGATATTTAGCATGAAACATGTTCTAATAGGTGTCTACCAAATTTGTTCAAATAAAAGCCCTGGGGGTCAAAATTTGCCCTACCCCAGGGTCATTGATTTTCCTTATATGTGTAAAGCAAAAACTTTAAATTAAAAATTCTTTGAAAAAAAACCAAATAGCTAGAGTTTAGATACTAAGCATGAAACATTTTCTAGTGAGTGTCTACAAAGTTTTTTCAAATAAAAGCCCTTGGGTCAAAATTTGCCCTGCCCCGGGGGTCATTGATTTTATTTATGTGTATAGCAAAAACTTATAAATTCTTCTTTGAAAAAACCCAAATAGCTAGAGTTAAGATATTTAGCATGAAACATCTTCCAGTTAGTGTCTTCAAAGTTTGTTCAAATAAAGCCCTAGGGTCAAAATTGGCCCTGCCCCGGGGGACATTGATTTTCCTTATATGTGTATAGCAAAAACTTAAAAATCTTCTTTAAAAAAAACTGAATAGCTAGAGTTTAGATATCAAGCATGAAACATCTTCTAGTGAGTGTCTCCAAAGTTTGTTCAAATAAAAGCCCGGGGGTCAAAACTGGCCCCTCCCTAGGGGTGTCATTGCTTTTAACTATATGTGTATAGTTAAAACTTAAAAAATCTTTCTCTAAAAAACTCATCAAGCTAGACCTTAGACGTTTAGCGTGAAATATCTTCTAATGGGTGCCTACCAAGTTTGTTCAAATAAAAGCCCTGGGGTTTAAACTGGCCCCGCTCTGGGGGCCTATATACAGGTGAGCGACTTCAGGGCCATCATGGCCCTCTTGTTATATATTAACCAGCATTATCATTGCATATTTTGAGCAATACCACTACATGCAAGTCTGTCTTTCATAAGAAATGAATTTACCTCAAATTCTCTTTGTTTCAGCTCAGTTAATTCATCTTAAATTCTACAGGTAAATCTGCAGTAAAAGAAGTATATCTTGTTTAAGGGTTATTGTTTTGTTATCTAAGTATAAGAACTGGACAAAACAGTTGATATTGATTTAGTATTTTGGCCTATCATATGATACTGTTTTGTATTTGCTTATTTTAAGCTCGACTATTTGATAAGAATAAGTAGAGCTATGTCAGTCACCTTAGAGTCGGCGTAACCACTTATGTTAAAATTTTTGTAACACCTCAAATATTTTCAAAGTCCATTGGCATATGGCTTTGAAACTTTGCATACTTATTCACCATCATAACCCCAACCTGTAGACAGGAGGAGATAGATCTTATCAAGCATTTTGACAGAATTATGCCCCTTCTTCAACTTAGAATTTATGTTAAAGTTTTTGTAACACCTCAAATATTTTCAAAGTCCATTGGCATATGGCTTTGAAACTTTGCACACTTGTCCACCATCATGACCCCAATATGTAGACAGGACGAGGTAACTCTATCAAGCTTTTTGACAGAATTATCCCCCTTTTTACTTAGAATTTATGTTTAATTTTGTGTACCACCTCAGATATTTTCATATTTCATTGAAATCTTACTTTGAAACAAGTTGAAATTGTATGCACTTCTTTGTGAGCATTAAAGGACTTTCTTCGAGGCATATAACATGGATTTGAAAAAAAGATTGGCCATTTTGTGAACTTTGAAAATTTTACATTATCAAGGCTCTTTTACTATCAAGCACTAAGAATAGTCCAGTCTGCTGTCCTACAGACAGATCTTGTTTAAAAATGTTTGAAAGGGAAATGTTTATGGCTAAATGCTGTAATAATGTTATAAAGATTTTAATGTAAAAGTGGTTTAATTTTCTCTTTTTAACTTATGATCATAAATAATATTAATATCCCTGTTATTTGAAATGTTTTTAAACAAAACAGCAAAACTGTTTTGTCCAGTCTTCATACTCACAACACTAATTTTAAAGGGCACAGTATATATTTTTGCATGTTTGTTTCATTTACAAGTCATTTCAAATATTTCATATTGAAAGCTTACAATGTTGTAATGCTTTATGAGTAAAGATGATATGGTATAAGATGATATTGTATACTTAATTTTCAAATGGTTTTAAGCTTATTGTACTGGTGTTAAATTAAGAAACTTAGGAGATCCCATTGCATTATTTGTCATTGTTTCAACACTCTATAGGTCAAGGCCAGTATTTTAGCTATATCTTAATTGTATTTTGTGAGATTGTTTCTTTCATTGAAATTTAAAACGAGCGTTTGGATCAAAACTAGGTCACTAGGTCAATTAATGAAAAATGTTTTAAAGAACAAAAATTCCTTTCTGGTCTCAGGGATAATTAATCAGAATATTAAATGTGTTGTGTTTATATCTGATAATATGTTTATATTGGGTCGATAAGAATGTGTAGGTTCACAACTAAAGAAATTAAGCAAATTTTTTTAGTACATATGCAGCACAATATTAAGTCAAAAAATTTTTTGAAGGCAAGTGTAGATCTATTCAGTGTATTCTACATAGAAATGTCACTTTTTCACTTGCAATTTGTTTTTTCCTCAAAGGTGTTCCTTTAATATAAACAACTTTGTTGGCCAGAAATTTTAAATAAAATTAGATTTTTTAAAGAAAGTATACTTTTTTTTACCATTTGTTTCATTTTTTGTTCCGCACAACTTTTTTATTACATGCTATCAAAAAAAACTTTGAAATTGGAATGAAATCATATTCTAATCCCATTTCTGGCTAGAGTTTTTATTCCCCCACAGAGTGGGAGCATATAGCGTTGCACTTGTCCGTCCGAGTGTCCGTCAGTCCGTACGTCTGTCAGTCCGTCCGTCCGTCTGTCCGTACGTCCCGAAATCTTGTGAACGCAACTCCTCTTAAACCGGATGGCAGATTTTGCTTAAACTTACAGGGATGAACAACCTTAATGTGTAGATGGTAGTAAAGGAAGGAATTTATGCTGCGACCAAATTTAACAGAATTATGGCCCTTTGTTGATTTTTAGCTCGACTTTTCTATGAAAAGGGGAGCTATCCTACTCGCGTCGGCGTCGGCGTCGGCGTTAGCGTCGGCGTTGGCGTCACACCTTGGTTAAGTTTTTCGTACCACCCCACTTTATTTCAGAAGTATTACAAGTATGGCTTTGAAACTTACCATACTTGTTCACCATCATAACCTCCATCTACAGACAAGAGTACATAACTCTGTCAAGGTTTTTGACAGAATTATGGCCCTTTTTTGACTTAGAAAGTGTATTGAGCTTGGTTAAGTTTTTTGTACCACCTCACTTTATTTCAAAACCATTGGAGGTATTGCTTTGAAACTGACCATACTTGTTTACCATCACGACCTTCATCAACAGACAAGAGGACATAACTCTGTCAAGGTTTTTGACAGAATTATGCCCCTTTTTGACTTAGAAAATACATTGAATATGGGTAAAATCCACTTATTGCCTTAACCCTTTGAGATATTGCTTTGAAACTTTTAATGCTATTTCACATCATTACCCCCATCTGTACGCAAGAGAAGGTAACTCTGTCAGGGATTTGTTTTAAAAATTAAGGCCTTTTATCGACTTAGAATCTTGGTTAACTTTTTTGTACCAGTCAACTTTTTGACTGAACTGGTTGAGATATTAAATTGAAAGTTGGAATACTTGTTTACCATCATGGTCCCAAAACATGGGCAGGAGAAGGTAATTCTGTTAAGGATTTTATTTGAATTATGGCCCTTTTTGACTTAGAAACTCAGTTAAAATTTTCATTCTTGTCCACTTGTTGACTTAACCATTTGAGATATTACTTTGGAAGTTGGAGTTCTTATGTGCCATCATGAGACCTATCTGTAAGCAAGAGAAGATAAACTCTGTGAAAATGTTTCTTGATTTGTACTTAGAAATTCCTAGTTAAAGTCTTGTGTGCCCTTAACTGTCAAAGTTTTGTTTTATAGGCAAGCACTAAAAAAGTCGAGCGCGCTGTCCTTCTGACAGCTCTTGTTTCACTATATACTATGTAGAAATTTTGTGAACGCAACTCCTCTTAAACCGGATGGCAGATTTTGCTTAAACTTCCAGGGATGATAAACCTTAATGTGTAGATGGTAGTAAAGGGAGGAATTTTTGCTGCGACCAAATTTAACAGAATTATGGCCCTTTGTTGATTTTTTCACTATATACTATGTAGAAATTTTGTGAACGCAACTCCTCTTAAACCGGATGGCAGATTTTGCTTAAACTTCCAGGGATGAACAACCTTAATGTGTAGATGGTAGTAAAGGGAGGAATTATTGCTGCGACCAAATTTAACAGAATTATGGACCTTTGTTTATTTTTTCATTATATACTTTGTAGAAATTTTGTGAACGCAACTCCTCTTAAACCGGATGGCAGATTTTGCTTAAACTTCCAGGGATGAACAACCTTCATGTGTAGATGGTAGTAAAGGAAGGAATTTTTGCTGCGACCAAATTTAACAGAATTATGGCCCTTTGTTGATTTTTTCACTATATACTATGCAGAAATTTTGTGAACGCAACTCCTCTTAAACCGGATGGCAGATTTTGCTTAAACTTCCAGGGATGAACAACCTTCATGTGTAGATGGTAGTAAAGGAAGGAATTTTTGCTGCGATCAATTTAACAGAATTATGGCCCTTTGTTGATTTTTAGTTTTCAACTTGTGGCACATGTAGTCCAAAAAAATATTTGACCTAAAGTATTAAGATTGACAGAACAGTGGCGTGTGGGGGCATCCGTGTCCTATGGACACATTTCTAGTTATCATTATCATGCCTTTTCTTCAAAAGTAATATTCTCAAAGAACTTGCTTTTACTCCACTATCCATTCCGTTGCTTTGTGGACGGCTTTTGTTAAAATATACATCTTTGCTAATATATTGATAAAACCTTACTTTCAACATGTGAAGACATAATTAAGGTCGTCATCACATATTTGTTATATCTGATGAAAGTATGAAGGTGTTTTATTTTGTAAAGCTTTGTTTTTATGCTTTCAGTATATGTCACAACTATTTTGTGTCAAGCTTGGATATGACAGCAAGCACTTGAAGGGAAAAATGATTATATTTTCTTTAAAATACAACTGAATTATATGACTTTTAGTTTTGAATTTCTCTATATGGTATTATATTATAATTAATGTAAATTTTGTAAAGTTATGCACATTCATGTGAATTTGATTAATACTAAAACACAACCCTAGTTGTATAACTCCATCATACTGACATGAAATCGATATGATTTGAATTTCTATATGTCTTTGACCATCATGATAATATTATTTTTATTTATCAAATTAGAGATAACGTTGACTATTTATTTATGGATTTTATACTTGAACAAAACAACAGTCTGGACCAAATTTTCATACTGAAAAATACAAATTTGAACTAGATCTTTTAAAGACAATCATTGAACAAATTCATCTTTGTTTTTGCATTTGGTTATTAGAGATCAATTGGTGACGTTTGTTTTAGAAATTAAAGCTGTATGCTGAGCGTATTTATCGACTTCAGAGATAGTTCTAGATTAAATTAAGATATAGTAAAGTCATTCTCAACTATAATCTTTTAGCTTTTGAAATGTAATTTATATTTATGCTAGTACTAAACTCTAATGTAACATCAGAATAACTATACTAACAGAGGCAATTATATTATGCTTAACAGGAGAGGGTAGGTATTGTGGAAAGCTGGTTAGCGAATCTGAGCCCTGTGCATAAAACACAGGCGCCTAATGTTAATTGTTTTGAGACTCTTCCTTATGTCTAAGTCAGTCATTTAAAAGTGACTCAGTGTCCAAATTATTGTCAAACATTAATGAGATTCTTTCAAAAGCTACAAACAACTATTTGAAAATTTGATTTGAAAGATTTTAGTAAATACTTTGTATTCACTTAAGTTTGTTGGCATGAAATTCCGTGATTTTGTCAAGAAAGACACTCTCATGGGTTCTTAAATTAGTTGATTGGTCTGTGAAAAAAAGTAAATTGAAAACATAATTGTAATGTTATATACATAATAACAGCAGACTAAATGTAATGTCGTTGCATATAAAATGAGTGAAACCTCAAAGATTAGTGCCTATTAGTTATCATGATCCTCATCTCTTTTTTTGATGAGTGAAATGAGTTTACATACAAATTTTTGTAACATTATTGTTCTTTTATAATGTTTGCAAATATTTTTTGTTTGCCTGCTTGAGTTAAAAATAGAAATACCTTTAATTTTGAACTACACGAGGTCTATACAAGACGTTTGATGACCTCCCACATTGTGGTTGAGAGGTTGCCTTAAAGGGTCGAGGCATCAGAATGGCATCTTTTAGCTTCAATAGGTGATGTGGATCTGACCTCTGGTGTTGCTTTAAGTTTTTAACACCCTAGGTCAGCGTAAATCACTATTCCCTTTTCGGCGCCATATGACCTTAATTGTGTTGGTGCGCTGTAAAACCAAATCAAACAAAACCAAAATATTTTATGACCTAAAACTAAAACTTGATTAGCGTGAAACAAAAGTAATCAGAAGTAAATAGATCCAATACGGTTGAAGAAATTTATTTTGTAAAAAAAATTACATAATTAAATACCATGGTGAATGATACGGGTCTTGCATATGATACAGTAAGAATTTGTTGAAGCATTTAGTCGTGGTACATTTGTACCTCTAATCCACGTTATTATCTTGATTATCTTTTATTCTCAAAGACTTAGAATGCCTCCCCCTCCACCTCTTTTTGTAACTCATGCTTTATTTTATTATTTCAGAAATACTGGAAGGCTGTCGCCACGTGTATAATGAACAGTTATGTATTGTGACAAATAGATGACACGTGTGTGTTATGGACAAACTGTATTACATGCCACGAAATGATCCATTTCGTTATTCAAAGGAAACAAAGTTTTTGTTTTTGATGTCGTTTCTGTTGTTATGTAATAGGATAGTGTTTATGAATGGAAACAATTAACTTAAGGTTATTGTGATAGTGTAAATTGGTTGTATCATAGAAAAACTAGAAATGAACACCTCAATATTTTGATTTTATTCTTTATTACAACAACGCAAAAATGTGTGAGTTTTAAATTTTCCGGTCATACAATTACTAATACTGATTTTAAATGTTAGCGTAGAATCATGATGACTGTATTAAGCCACTGGTAAAGATCCTCGAAGACCATCTTGTACGTAAGAACAGTACCACTAGACCCAATTCTGTTGGCTGGGTCACGTTTAGCAAGAATTAAACCTTTTTTGTATTAAGAAATTTACAACAAACAAACGTTAAATAAAGTTGTAATATTGTTTGTAAAAGGTAAAAGTACATGATTTATCATTTCATATTTTAGACGTTATTGTGAAACCCAATAATTGGATTTGCATATAATAAATGACCAGGCGAGTAAGAGGCATATAATTTAAATTTGTTTCATTATCACTTTTGAACTTTAAATATAACAGTTAAATACGTTACTTTATGTTTTTATATGGTAAATATTTGTTATTAACAAATGAAATATTATTTAAGAAAATTTTGCAAAAAATGAGAACTAAGATGAACAAGGCAGGCAACCGACATTCACAGAATGTAGACCCCAGCACAACCAAGCCAAACTGGCAGGGCAGTTATATTTTGCGGACTAGTTTTCTTTAGAATTCGCAATTTAAATGTCGGCATCACTCGCACAAAAATTGATAGAAAATATTCAGTAAAGTAGCATCCGCTAATTTTCTGGATAAATAGTAAGTAATAATCAAAGAATTTGTTTTGCAAAATTTTTTTTTCCAAAACATTGTGTTACTTTAGAATACATTTTTAGAAGTGTAACTTAAAAATGTTTTTCTTGGATAAGTTCGCTTTAATAACAGTCTATATAATTTGCTTCTTTAGAACGGTTTTGTAATGCGTAAATCATGTAAATTGTGGCATTGGATTGATCCACTTTCAGGAGACAAAGTAAAATACAAAGGATATTGTGATATTTTCTCTTAATCTATGTTCATTTCTCCTGACAATGACTTATTGAATTAGTTAATTATTCATAATAAATTAAATTCTTTTGGACCGAACGGCGCTAATTTGTTTCACTGGCTTTTTGTTAATGAAGTCTTATGTTAGGTAATTTATTATTCTGCTTGAACATCAAATTGTAAAAATTAATGCAAACTAAAGGTGAATACCGGTTACTGCATTACTTATCGGGTAGTTAAAAGTAATTGAAACAACACTCTTCCAGCGTTTTCTTCAACCTTCATCACAAGACAATTTTAAAGTCCATATAAATTATGAAGAACTGTTGGAAAAGGTTTATTCACGGTGGCAAGTGGTATTCTAAGAAGCGTTGTGAGCGTAACATGTTCTGAACACGAATTATGTATAAATTCGATCATTCACATTTTCTGGACAGTAAACTGTAAATTTATCCCTATTATTTTTTTTATTTGAAATTGTGTTGAAACATAGATTATAAAAATTGGAACACTTCGTTTAAATTTAACTGTTAATAACTTTTTTTAATGATTAAAGATAACTTGTGCAATATTTGAATAAAGTAAACATAATAATATAAATTGTCTATTTGGTTTTGATTTTGTTTTGTCATCTCCATTATTGTATTTATTTAATAGGTCTGCATTTAACTTTGTTCAAGATTTTCGTATAGCCCACTTAGATTAATCGTCCTCCGTCGTTTCGTCAGTCTGGGCATACATCCAATAGTTCATGAATTTCATTCAGTCCATAATTTTAGTTAAAATGAACACTATAATCCATATTAATTCATGAAAGGAAAAGTCAATAAACCCTAAATTATGCGCATCCTTATCTTTAGACAAGAAGACATTATTCTGTCATTGAATTTGACAATATAAAGTCCTTTTTTCGACTCAAAATTTGAAATAAGGTTTTCTTACCACCACGCGCTTTATCCCTTTAGGTATATTCTGACACACAAAATAGTTATACGACTCAAAAGTCTCTTTCATTTATTGACCAATTATCTTCCATATTTAGAGGAAAGATACCTTTGTAGATCCTCTTATTTTGTTTAAATTTTACGGTCAAGGTCTTGGTAGCCGTTGGTAGTTATAGACATCATAATTATAATATTGACGTTATATTAAGTTTCTTGGTTGCATCATGCTCTAGGTAAAATTGCTATTCCATGGGCTTTAGGGATATGTCCTGTTTTAACTGATAATACTTTGATTGTGACACTTATGTATTATTTGTTATAGTTTTCATGTTTAAAAATCATTCAGGTGAGGATTACAAGACAACTGGTTATGTTATAATCTTGACCTAGGGGGTAGCCACCTGGTTGAAACCCTCTGTAGGTGATGATGGTGATCATTTGTGCCAATATAATTTAAAAAATCAGTTGTTAAAAGTAATGAAAAAGAGACAAAAATTGTTGACTTTAAACATTTGACCTCTATGTGTGACCTAGACTTTGGGGTGGCGATCTGAATAGTGTGCTAAACACACCATGTTATTATAAGTACCATTTGTGCAAAGTCATTTTAAAAACTTTTCAGTAGTTTAAAAGTTAAGGAGCGGACAGGAAAATGTGGACTGTATCATTTGACCTTTAAGTGTGACCTTGATGGTATGGACTAGATTGTTGTGCTCTGCACATCGTCTCATAATGGTTAATCATTTCTGTCAAGTTATTTTAAAAATATTGCACCGGATTATATGTTATGGAACAGACACGAAATATAGACTTTTTACGATTTGTGTGACCTTGACCTTAGGGGTAGCGACCCAATTGTTGCGCTCTGCACATCGTCTCATAATGGTGATCACTTGCGTCAAGTTATTAAAAAAGGTCAGCGGTTTAAACTTTATCGAGCAGACACGAAAGTGTTAAGGACGGACGGAAAGATGGAGGTCAATTCTTTAATATCCTTTCCGCTTTGCGGTAGGGGATTAAATGTAAATATTGTTGAATAATATTAAATTTCGATGGGTACCATTCCCCAGTTTGACTATAACCTTTAATGCATTTGAGATTTGAATACTGGTTAGTAACGTCATCGCCACTTGCTTTGTTGGTTGGTTTTACGCCTGTTTGGTTATGATTCGATGGTCGGTCTATCTAACAGGGTACAAATATCTTATTTGTTAATATACGGTGCCTGCTTAATGTGAACCTGCATGTTGATTAAAATACGAAACATAACACATGACTATTAGCATGTTGGTATATGAAGAATTTGAACGTTGGAAATGCTTGTTTGATTCTTGTTATAAGATTAGATTCTGTGGCAAATGATGAGCATTTGAAATATTAAAGTAGCATGCCTCCATTTTAAGGTAATGTTCATAAAAGTTTTAAAAAGTGTTAAAAGTAAATTATTGTCAAGTGAACAGAAATTATTTAACAAATTATTTATTTAATTAAATTATTATAGGATTGTCGTTATTTTTCATAATTATTAGTATTTGTTTTGCGTTGTTGTTCTTATTCTTATTCTTGATGTTATTCTTAATGATGATGATAATAATAGTAGTTAAATTTGTTTCTTTATCTGTAAGTTTCATTCATTGCACCATGGACTTTTTTCACTGTTTTTATGTCATTGCAGCCATAAACGTGTTACCTTTTCTTTTATGTATTTCAGTTCAAGTTGCTCTAGTTAACCAATCACAAAGTATTTATGTTCTAACTTTCTTTTTCGACATTTCTTTATTTTAGCGTTTACACTAGCATTGTTTGAAGTTTCGGTACATAAACACTTGAATGTATAAGGAAGTGATTTGTGTAACCGACTACTTGTGGGGATTATAAAACTATACCCATTTATATGACCTGACATAGTTAAATGATAAGGGATTGTAAAGTTTCAAACGTTATTATTTCTTTGGGTGGACTAATTTAAACAATGAATAGCATTTTGACAACAGACTTGCATGGCATGAAGGTAAGTCTTCTTTATGTGATGTATTCTATATTTGATTTTAATAATTTTTACAGTTTGACCTGAATAATTGGAATGCATTTTTGAAGTCGGTGAATGAATAAATTGTTGTATTTGCATTGCAGATAATGGAAGAGTGAGATTAATTAACGTACGTCAACTTGTGTTTTCCTTCGTTTATAGTATGATGAAACTTCACACCTTTTGCTTGGGTATACTTTAGATAAAATGTGTTTATAACCATTCTCACTCTATTTCACATTATTTTAGTTCAAAATATCTGGATGAAAGAATGACACATACACACACGAAGTAACGAAGTACTATAGTTTTTTACGATTGTATTTTTACTGTTAAACATTTGAAATTATTACATAAGTTAATTACTGAAAGGGTAACTCGTCAATTCAACTGGGGAAGCATTTTAGAATTTCGTTTTTGAATGACATATACTTGACGTTTTGACTTGTATTTTTTCATACATGCTAACATATAACGCTAGGAAGATGTGTGTTGAACTGGGAGCATTGTGTTATTTGCATTTTTTCCAATATTGGTTTTAATTGTTTCAACAGCATTCAGTCTAATGATATAAACGAAAAGCTAATTTTACGTTAAACAGTCACTGTGCTATTGTTTGACAAAAATAGTTATTATGCCCCCACAAAGTGGGGAGCATATAGCGTTGCACTTGTCCGTCCGTCCGTCCGTACGTCTGTCCATGCCGTTTTGAAGGGAAGTGTGCGCGTTTCACTACAGTATCTTAAACAATAATTCCGTCAGCCGTCGAAGTCACTTGTGGACACGCAACTCCTCTGAAACCGAGACTGAGCAAAGTTTGTGCACTTGAAACTTCAGGTAATGAGACAACGCTGTAATGTGTAGATGGTGAGGTACAAGAACCGGAATGTTGTCGCTGCGACAGACCACTCTAATTAACCAGAATCTATATGGCTGCGGTGGTTGTTTGATGTTTTACTATATTACTATGTAGATAATTTTGTGAACAGACATACTGCACTCTAAAACCGGTGGCTAGCTCGTACAGATTTTGCTTAAACTTCCAGGGATGAACAACCTTAATGATCAAATTTAACAGAATTATGACCCTTTGTTTAGTTTTTTCACTATATACCATATAAATAATTGTACATATAAATTTTACATTTGTAATTTAATTTAACATGTACATAAGGTTACCTGTAGATCATTTTAGGTATATGTACAGAAATGAAACAGTGGAATGAAAATGTTCCACGTAAAAATCTTGCATACAGATATGCATGCTCTTGTTTACGAGCACATCTGCACAGTGGGGGGCATCCGTGTCCTTTGGACACAGTTCTAGTTTGTCTCATTTTTAGAGTTATTAACAAATGTCGATTTTTATACTTGTGTTATATTAAAAATTGTATTATACATTTTATATTAATTATTTTATTGTTAATATCTGAAACATATACATTGTATTTTTAATTTCGGAAAGGAAAAGCTTGGTTACTTAATTACAAGTTTGATTTTAAGCAAGATAGTTATATTCCCAAATGTATAGATCAAATGAAATGAATTATATTCAATATTATACTTTCAATACAAAATTCTATATTCAAAAAGTACTTTGATTCCATTTGATAAATTACATTGTATGAAATACATTTATAACTTAAAGAAAAATTCACATTAGAGTGTTAGTTGCATAAATACCTAGTAATCCGCAACATATACGAGGGTGGGTTAATATGTAATGTAATATGGCCAAAACATTTAACAAAAGAGCAATATTTTACAAAATAATCAATACAGGCCTTTCAAACCAGTCGACGGACAAATTTTTTTGAAGTGTTTTTTACATGAAGTTACTCGTGTAAGGTATTTTTGAATGTGAATAGAATTCTTTATAGGTTGACTACACCCATGACTTTGGAATCATTTGAAAGTAGATTGTTTAAAAGCATAAAATAGTTTAAACAAAGACAAGAAGAACGACGTTGATAAGAAATATACTTCATATTGCATAACATATTGACCCATCTTCGTATTTAGTATCTCATCTACAAGGGAGTTAAAAATTTGAAAATGGTAAGGAAAAAACCACTGCTTGTCACCCAACACGCAAAATATAATATACACTTTGCCAATCATACTACAGTAGTTGTAAATGTCTGCTTTGGTAGTGGTAAATGTCTGACAAATGCAAGCTCCAGTAGTGATAAATGTTAGCTTAGGTAGTCTATGAACATGCATAAGTCTACATAAGCAAAACCTAACATCATAATTAGAATTTGCTACAAGTTCAGGCATGATATATGAAAAACTGTAAGTATTATATACTAGATATCTCAGATAACACAATTATTCATTTTAATTATCTACAATTAAACAAAAAATCAAGGAGATGGTCATTTTTCTTATAAAGTTCATGATAAAGGCATTAAGGCATTTATCTATTTAAAATTCCTAGTTAATTTACCACCAATAGTTATCTCAATAATTCAATAATTCCTTTATGTTCCTCGTTTGAAATAAACTAAATTAGGGATGAACTTGTCCTTTACTGTGACAGATGTTACTGCTGCATGTTTTGTGATGTCTACCTTATTAAATTGTCGTTAACGGTAACCGTTATTATTTTCCCACCCCTTCTCCCATTTATGACCCCCACCTTTTCACCCTTATAATTCCCATATGGGCCCGGTTTATTTTTTATTATCTCAAACATAACTTGTCCCTCTCCTCCTTTCGTCGCCTTTATGTCCACTCCCGATTTTGGTTTGGTGCCTTCTGGGTGTCCTGCTGTGGTGGCTTGGGTATGCCTGGGCTTGCATTCTGTGAACGTTGCCTTTGCCTTGTTAATCTGTATTCTCGTCTTTACGTGACTCTGTTCAGAAGGTTCTCTTGCTGTTGTAGATACATACGGCTTTGAAATCCAAATGCATTGATTTTTTGTTATACACACGTGACGTCAAAATGATTTCTTTACAACGTCTAACAAGCTAGTAATCATAATTGTCAATACACAATGTGTCAATGTTAAAGTTTACAATGCGAGAAAAGATTTATTAAAAGCATTAAACATAGGCTAACTAGTATTGATAAATATTTACCTGTTTGTGTCATATATGAAGACAGATGTTGCGTCAATTGTTAATGCAAGTTCGTGAGAACTATGTCGGAAAAAGGGTTAACAAGTCTACACAGGCAATGAGTTACAATAAAGGTGGATATAAAGTGTAACAATTGATTTAAAAAGGTGAATATAAATATTTTAGTAAGGAAATTAAACTGATCTATTCCTTGTATTTCAAACTCTTGATTCAGAATGTTATTTGGTGCAAATTTAGCATAATTCTTAACAGCAAACTTTGACCATTGGCATCGTATGATGTTTCACTACTAGAATGTACAAACCTTTAATCTGGCGACGGCAACTAAATATACCCAGTTGGCCAGTGCTGACCAAAATTAGCCCGAACACTTTGTTATAGTAAGTCAGTAAATTTTTTTTTTCATTTATTTATTTACTTTTTTCACTGAAATATATAATGATGACCGCGTTCCAGATTAACAGGTTGACAAGTTCATTAAGATATTTAGCTTTGTAAGGGCAATACAATAAAACAATATAATATTATACGATAGCACTGCCTCATGGTTATATGTTCATAAAACATACATGTTATATTAATATTTTGCGAAAAATTCCCAGTAGCATAAAAAATATATTTTGTATACGGTTCTTCTTTCAGAAATGTATTCAAAAACAATGTGTATGATTTCCGCCGGACAACCCTTTCATTTTAGTTTCTTGTCATTATGCTTAAAACAAGAATTCACTTATTTATTAATCCTCTTACGCTTATGTTAACATTTGATATTCATTTTTTACATGGCATCAACGGCCATGGTTTATGTACTTTAATGTAAAAGTCAGTATGGAAAATAAAAGTTATTGTGTATCTCTAGAAATGAAATCTTATGTAGTCAAATATTCAAATGACACAAGGGAGATTAAATGCTATTTGAAACGTGGGTATCAAATAACATAAATCAATCCTAAGCGTCTTGAAGTTTCCATATAAAAAACAATAAACGTATCATTTGAAAAAAATGCTTATATACATAAAATGGTTTGCTTACTTAGGAGTCATTGATTTCAGCACTTTAAGGTTTTGAGCACGGTTCAAGCCGGTGCTAGTGGGTGTGAGGGATGTTGCACCTTTTCATTATTCCTCATGAACAAACTCAATCAAACCGAATCTACAATTTTCATGTTATTTAGCTAATTTTAATGCTTCGGAGGGATCACTTTTTCCAGATATTGTTAACAGATGATGCGTGTAAAAATATACATTGTATTCGTTATCTACGGTATATTTAGCAGTTCTGAATAAGAGAAAATAAAACGATATAATTATAATTTATATGCTTTCTTTATTAGGGTTTCTATATCGGAACATGGCCCAGCTGTTAATATAGCACATGCTTGAATGTTTATAATGCTCTATATGACATTGAATTCGAGTGTAAACTAAATCGCAGATGGTGTAAGAAAATCCCTTTTCATATCTTTAAATCATAAGAATATTTGATATTCATATTTCATAGATATGGAGGAGCTCTTAAAACGTAACACACAAAAACATTCACTACACGGAACTGCATCGGATTTTTTTACTTTAAAATTTGATTTTTTCAAAATGCTAGAAACAAAAAGAAATGGATGTTAGACCATTTAGAATATATGTTAAGTTAAAAAAAAACACATTAGAAACACAACACGCCCACATTTATTCTATCATTCCATATAAACTGGAATAGTTTATTTTATAACTTGCATTAACTTTAGCTTTCTGAAGTTAAATATTTTCATTAAACTTGGCACTTGGTATTTTATTATCATTCCATTGTATATAGATACCATTTGGTTAAATGTACAATGTCTCAAAAATATAATTTTGAACTTCCCCGTTGAATGTTTGAAGCGAACTTGGGGTTATAGCTTT